GAGTTCAGACGTGTGCTCTTCCGATCTAATTTTCTGTAATATAATCGATTGTCATTGACCACAAATTAAAATGTGACTGTAATTATTAATTACATTTTTATTATGTTATATACGTTACAATATGAAGTAATTTAATTGATATTTGCATTAATTTTAAGGTTAACTTATAAATTTACAATTTCATTTTCTTTGTGGTGCAATTATAAACTTCTTCAGGAGGCTTAATTCTAATTGTAATCCTTCGAAATATATTCTTAGTACAGGTAAAAAGCGAGGCTTACATTAAGACAAATACGGTATTGTCAATGTAAATTTATTTTTTGTTATAAAGGATAATACTTTTTGGGACCATCGAGTGGATCTATTAAGTTGGATACAGATTCGAAAATAAGAAATATATCTTGCAGATATAATTATCTTCTGGTATGTATAAAAACGGCCATATATTCTCCGCCAAGTATACATGACCTCATACTCATTTTACATTATTTTATGCCTATACACTAATTCGGTACTGCAATATTGTGTATATACTAATAATGCCAAACACATATAATAACTGCCCCAGCAGAGCAAAGAAAAATCTATAAAGTTTGAAATTTTGAAATTTTCTGTAATATAATCGATTGTCATTGACCATAAATTAAAATGTGACTGTGATTATTAATTACATTTTTATTATGTTATATACGTTACAATATGAAGTAATTTAATTGATATTTGCATTAGTTTTAAGGTTAACTTATAAATTTACAATTTCGTTTTCTTTGTGGTGCAATTATAAATTTCCTCAGGAAGCTTAATTCTAATTGTAATCTTTTGAAATATACTCTTAATACAGGTGAAAAGCGAGGCTTATATTTAGACAAATATGGTATTGTCAATGTAAATTTATTTTTTTTTGTAAAGGATAATACTTTTATTCCTAATGCAAAAGGGATGCATTAATTCCACATTTTGTATTAATATTTGAGTACAAGTAAATATACATATATTTTATTTTTTCTTTATTTTTATTTAATATTTTTACAAAGGACAAAAGTATGTTTCGTTATCAAATCAGAAAATTGTATATCCTCGTAACAATCTAACTATAACTTTATATAATAATTTTTTTAACATCATGGATATTGCTGAACTATTATTCCAATTATTATTTATATGCATGTATTATTATTGTTGTTATGCAATTTTTCCTGATTTATATTATCTCTATTTCGCATATTTAAAAATATTTATTAATATATAAAACCGTATGAAGAACTTAATTTATTACGTTTTTTTATAAAGGACTGAACTTAATTATGATGAACAAACGAAAGTATTGGTATAGTGCTCGGTACAAGCGCAAATTGCTAAAGCAACAACTTGATTTTGTATTTGATAAACTGCAACATGAACAAATATTTTCCCTTGACGACTCTAATGAAAATGAAGAGGATCTTACATCACTTTCAAATACACTTGATAACAATGAGAATTTGCAACTTACCAATAAAGAAGCAACAGACAAAACTACAAAAAGAAATGAAGTAGAAAGGAACAATGTAGTACAACATAACAACGAGTGCGGAAACTTTAACAATGACGAAGATATGCCCGATCAAAGTATACTAGATGATATCTTTCATGATGAATGTCCAAACGATATTTCCTCAGAAACAGAGAGTGAAAATCAGAATGGTTTAAACGTAGATAGACTGCAAAAAAATCTTGCTTACTGGGCATCAAGCGAAAGAATAACTCGAACATCCGTTAACAAACTTCTGCAATTACTGCGAGAAGAACGGGATTTGCAACCTTTGCCAGTAAATGTTCGAACTCTTCTGAAAACACCGAGATCAATTGATAAACCGATGACAATGGAACATGGACAATATTGTCATTTTGGAATTGAAGCTGGCTTGATTTTTATTTTTCAAACGTGCAATAGCGCACTTATACCAGATGAAGTTATTTTGTCAATCAACATCGATGGATTACCGCTTGTTAAAAGTTCCAACAGCCAACTCTGGCCTATTCTTGGAAGTATCCGAAATTTTTACAATAAAAAGCCGTTTCTTATTGGAGCATTTCATGGATACAAGAAACCTCCAGCGCCTGATATATTTTTAAAAAAATTTGTTGAAGAAGCGCAGAACCTGAAAGAAAATGGCTTTTATTATAATAAAAAGATTATTCCATTTAAAATTGCCTGTTACATTTGTGATGCTCCTGCAAGAGCTTACATTTGTTGTATTAAAAATCATACCGGATATTATGGATGTAGTAAGTGTGAAACTCGAGGAGAATACAGAGGGACCGTTGTATTTCCTGAATTAAACGCTCGTCTGCGTACTGCAGAGTCATTTAAAAATCAGACTCAAAAAGTTCATCATACAGGAATATCACCATTGCTAGCGCTCAACGATGATTTAATCTCGGACGTGCCACTTGACTACATGCATATAGTATTATTAGGAGTTACGAGAAAAATGCTGCAGAAAATGACTGGAAAACTAAACCCCATGAAATTGAGTACCCAGCAAATAAATGAAATTTCATTGAGATTAATAAATCTGAGAAAACATGTTCCATGCGAATTTGCTCGTAAATCAAGAAGTTTGGGAGAATTGGATCGAATGAAAGCTACGGAATTCCGTCAATTTCTTTTGTACACTGGAATAATAGCATTACGCAAAATTGTTCGAGATGATGTATACAAACATTTCTTGCATCTTTCCGTGGCCATTCGTCTTCTTGCGACGTCAAATCTGAAGTATGAAGAAAATAGATACGCAAAACAATTATTGGAAAAATATATTATTGATTTTCAAAGACTTTATGGAATTGAGGTTACGTCTTATAACGTTCATGGATTGCAACATTTAGCTGATGACGTTTTAAAATGGGGAGCGGTAGATGATTATTCGGCTTTTATATTTGAAAATTATTTGCAAGAGATCAAGAAAATGCTTAGGAAATGTGATAAACCTTTGGAGCAATTACAGAATAGAATCTACGAGTCCAGGAATACAGATTTTAAAGAAGTGGTCAATACTCATGATGATAATTACGAATTGAGAAAAGAATACAATGGAGGGCCTTTACTAAATCAATGTACTGCTCCTATGTACAAAGAGATGAGATATCGTGGATTCAGATTCACAACGTCAAAACCGAACAATTGTTGTGTAACAAATGATGACAGAATTATGCTAATAGAAAATATTTGCAAACGAAATAATTTAGTAGTTGCAATTATTAAACAATTAAAATTCGTTCAAACATTTTTTAATTCTCCAGCACCTTCAACATGTTTTGGAATTGGAGAATACACTGGAGATTCTTCTCGATTGAAAGTAATTGAAATTTCATGCATTGTCAACAAAGCTGTTGTGTTCCCTATTACTATAGAACATGAAAATTCAAATTCTAAAAATAATGTATTGATTCTTCCACTCTTACTGGCTCATAAATTTAATGAGTATCAGTACATTTTCAGTCGCGTAAAAAAATACGTACGTGCCTACAATATAATATTTATTCTACAGAAAAATAATAAACCAAAATGGCTAGCAAGTATTCTATTATACATTTTTTGGACGAAGAAACAGTAGAAATCGTGCCTGTTTCTTGGATAAAAGAAAAAGCCGACGGCAAGACTGAATGCTATTGGCCACCGACTAACTTCCCAGCAAAGCTCATTATGCGCGCAGCGTGTCCAGATGAGAAATATTCTCTTCATGCATGCAGAGTTATGCAAACATATGGTAAAATACCTTAAATAAAATTAAATAATTATATATATTAAAAAATATAAATGCAATTTTAATTATTGCTAGAATTATTTCAGTATTTTCGTTTAATTCATCTTTAGTATAATTATTATTCTTTTTTAGATGATTATGCAACAGCCAGGATGTATCTTCCAAAAGCTGAATTTTATTCGGACATTGAATACAAAAGCCAAAATGAATCGTTGGGTAAACGCAAAAGAAAACCCAATAAAATACAGTTTAGTTCATCATCTGAAGAAGAGGAAGAGAGTGAAGAAGAAGAGGGAGAGAAGGAAAAGGAGTCACAAGTTAAAAAAATGAAAGTAATAGCGAAAAAATGTACGATTCCGGAAAGTCTTTCTCGTAAAGCATCAAATTTCGAGAGGTCAAAAGAAATTTTCAAAAACTGTTCAGCGGCACAAAAAGAAGTTGTTTCAACGTTATCAACTTCAACACCGCCAAAAAATATCGTCTCCAAGTCGTCAGATTCATCACTGCCAAAAACAGTTATGTCCAGGCTATCAAGTTCATCACCACCACAAAAATTCGTTTCTAGATCATCATTGATTTCGTCTAACGAAGAAGAAATGTCATCTAACATGTGCCTTCAATTAAGTATGTTATTGCATTTTTATTGATATTACGTGTACATTTATTTTTTATGATTATAAGTTATTATTATGTGGCATTGATCGGAATAGGTAATAATTTGAAAGCACCAAGTCTGGTGAAAACACCTCTTGCAAGAAACTCTCCAGCCCAAATTAAAAATGATTTGCTAAATATGAAAAACAACATACAGTAGTTTAACGTTGTCATCTAGCAAAATAATCTTCTGATTTACTTATCCAGTAAATGATCTTTTCTGTTTCTTTAAAAATCTTTTAAAAATACAAGAAAGGGAATTTAATTGTTTTTATCAGAATTAAATAATTATATTAGGTGTTAAAAAAAAACTAAAACTTTTGCATACACCTATAATAGCATCACAACATATTGTTCGTTATAGCTATTTAACATTTGTAATTGAATATTTTCACTTGTATTTCATACATTTGCTGTAATGTGCAATCACCAAATGTGAACGATTGTATTAGCATTTTAATAAATAAAAATATTGTAGCATATTTTTTTCGTATGTTACAAAATCATTTCATTGATAATACATTGTTTTATTTAAGTAAGCGACGTAGAAACCGACCACCAAAGATTGGATCCATGTTCTAATTCTTCTGCATCCATGCAGACAGGAAAGAAGATAAAAAAAGTTGATAATACACGTAAAAAATAATTTTTATTCTAAAATAAATATGGACAATAAATAAAAATTTTATTTAGAACTTTGTAAATCTATTTTCCAGCATTTGAAAGAGAAGTTTTAAAAAATCAGATGTTAATGAAAACTGCGATCTACGAAATAATGGATACGATCCACGACTTAAGCGACGAGGTTAAAAAATTGCAACAGTCATCTAAAAATAGCAAAGCAAAGGAATAGATCGGAAGAGCACACG